TGAGGACTACACTTGCGGCTCTTGGGTTCGCGCCGTCTACTGCTGACCCGTCGCTGTTTCTGCGCACAGACACGTCGCTGCCGCCGTTCTACATTCTCGTGTACGTCGACGACTTGGTCTTTGCTACTGCTGACACTGAGGCACTCGCTCGTGTGAAGTCGGAGCTGCAGAAGAGACACACCTGCACTGACCTGGGTGAGCTGCGTAGCTACCTTGGCTTGCAGATCACCCGGGACAGAGCTCGCCGCACCATCACCCTGACTCAGTCACACATGGTGCAGCAGGTCCTTCAGCGCTTCGGCTTCCAGTTCTCCTCACCACAGGCCACACCTCTGGCTACCAGCCACTCGCTCTCAGCTCCACCTCCGGACGAGTCCGTAGAGCCGAGTGGCCCGTACCCAGAGCTTGTGGGCTGCCTCATGTACCTGATGACTTTCACGCGACCTGACCTCGCGTACCCTCTTAGCATCCTTGCTCGTTACGTTGCGCCTGGGAGACACAGGCGAGAGCACTGGGAGGCTGCTAAGAGGGTGCTGCGCTACTTGTGCAGTACATCAGGCATGGGGCTGGTGCTTGGAGGACGCGACAGAGTTGTCCTCACTGGCCACTCGGACGCTTCTTGGGTGGACGACCTGGCTACGCAGCGGTCGTCACAGGGTTACACCTTCAGCCTTGGCTCTGGTTCTGTCTCGTGGCGGTCCACCCGCTCTTCCTCTGTTCTCGGCTCTAGTTGTGAGGCTGAGATCTACGCCACAGCCATGGCTGCACAGGAGTTACGCTGGCTCACCTACCTGCTGACTGACTTGGGAGAGCGGCCTAGTTCTCCTCCAGTTCTGTACGGTGACAACAAGGCGGCTCTTGCCTTGTGTCAGGAGCACAGACTGGAGCACAGGACGAAGCACATTGCTCTTCGCTACTTTCTTGCTCGAGAGCTTCAGCAGCGCGGTCAGCTTCGGCTTGTGTACGTGGACTCGAAGGCCAACACTGCTGATATCTTCACCAAGGCGCTCCCGCCTAGTGATCATCAGCGGCACTGTACTTCTTTAGGCCTTGTGTCCACGTTTCCTCACTTACTCACTGCTTGACATTCTTTGTACTGTACTTTATATATATCTTGTTGCTTGCTTGCTAGGTTTTGATCACTGTGTTGCTTGTCTTGTACTATATCTAGCACTGCATGTGAACTGGCCTTGTGGCCTTTACTTGTGCTCGGAGTGTGGTGACGTTGTGATCCACCCTGGGCTTTGCTTTGCTTTGCTGGACTGGTCTTGTGACCCTTTGTTCTCCCCCACTTTGCCTATGGGGGTGTGTTAAACTGCATTATGCTTGTAGGCTGTAGTGGGGTAGCCAATATGGGGTACAACCCCAACTAGGGTTTCATATTTGTACCCAAACTTCTGCTAGTTCATCCATTCTTGCCTAGTTATTCTGAAAAAGGAGACCGTACAAAACAATAACAATCAAAGGGCAATCCCCTTGAATATACAAACAGGCTAGGAGTGTACAGGCTTGGAAGGGAAAGGGTGGATGGGAGGATGTGAGAAATTCGAGGGAGTAGGCAAGTGGGTCAGACAGAAAGGCGGAGGATAGGAATATCGGAAGATGGCAGCTTGAAAAAAAGGGCAGCAGGGTGGAGAGGCAGGAGGATGAAAGAAAGAGTGGGTGGGAGAGTGGTAGGGAGGAGGGAGGCTTGGAGGAAGGGCGGATGGGAGAAAGTGAGGGAGGTAAAAGTGTGGCAGGGTATAAGGGAGGAACGGGGAGAAGGGAGAATCAGAGAGAAGGAAAGAAGGGTACAAGGGTGTGGGGGGAGCGTGGGTGACGGTGGGAGGGAGTGTAGGGAGAGTGGGAGGCAGTGAGGGCGACGGAGTGAGGATGGGCGGATGAGAGGATGGGCGGATGAGAGGATGGGCGGATGAGAGGATGGGTGGAACGGAGGAGCAGGGTTGGCGTGAGGAAGGGAGTGGGCGAGAGGGAGATGGAAAGGGAAAGGGGGACTGGATCGAGGGAGGTTGAGGAGAGGGAGAATGGCAGGAAGGGAGGGCGGGAGGAAGGGAGGGAGAACGGGCAACAGAAAGGGGAAAGAGGGTAGTGAGGCAGAGAGTGTGGGATAGATGGAGGAAGGGAGGAAGAGAGAGGGAGAGGAGGACGACTGTGGGGGCCCCACGGAACGGAGTAAGGGAGGAGGGCAGGAGGTAAGAGTGTGGCAGGAGGTAAGGGGGATAGGAGGATCCCTGCACCCTCTCTCCCTAACCCCTCCCCCGCTCCGCCTCCCCTAACCAGCCCCCTGCAGCACTGCACTCCTTGCTGCCCGCCTGCACGCGCTGCCCTGGCTGTGCGCCCAACACTCTGCTCCAAAGCCGCACCACCACCTGCCATGGGCGACAGTGAGGGGAAGCGTGGGCGACGGTGAGAGGAAGCGTGGGCGACGGTGGGGGAAAGCGTGGGCGACGGTGAGAGGAAGCGTGGGCGACGGTAAGGGAAAGCGTGAGCGACGGTGGCGGAAAGCGAGGGCGACGGTGGGGGAAAGTGTGAAAGCGACGGTGGGTGGGAGCGTAAGCGACAGTGGGGGGAAGCGTGGGTGACGGGAGGAAGAGCGTGATCAACGACGGAGTGAAGTGTGATCGACAGCGGGAAGAAGCGCGGCGGGGGACGGTGGGGGGAAGCGTGGGGGACGGCGACGTCGACGAGGGGAAGCGTGTGTGGCAGGGTGTGACGCCGACAAGGAAGGACGGTGGGGGAACATAGCTGAGGCAAACATAGGGCGAATGCGCGGGAAATGGCAGCGATCGACCGTACGATTACCTAATATCGACCTCGGAGAGGAGATGCATGCGCCGCAAACTGACGTTTTCGCGGTCGCGCAGGGTTTCGACGACGACGCTGAGTGAAAAGTGGCGCCATCGCATAGAATCTGTTTGGTGTTTTTTTTTTTTTCCTACCAAACTATTGGGCTCGGGCTCTATTGGCTTTCTGTTCTACCTAGGAGTTTCACGTGGATACTATGTGGTCGAGCATGACCTGAATTACCACAATTTCCAAACTGCGCACAGCTTGCCTTCCCCTACTCCCTTCAGGAGGGAGCGGTTGGGACTCTCGCCAACCAATTTTGTGCTGCTCTACGACTCTCTGGTTCTTTGCGGGGCGTCATTTGGTAACCAGAGAGGCTCGAGAAGTCAACTGTGGGCTCGGAAGGCAAACTGTGCACAGTTTGCCTTCCTTTTTTTGTAATTCAGGTCTTGGGCTTTAATAATATCTATTCTTGAAGACGCGCCTTGAGAGGAATCTGAGGGTGCGCTAGGTCCACGCCAGCAAAGAGAGAACTCGTTGACCATAAGCACGTGTATGATTTTTGAAATTGGCAAAGTTTTCATTTTTTTTGTCGAATGTAGCATTTGAACTTGAGCCGAACAGTGTTCGACCTCCATTGAACGTGAATTTTGAACCGCGCATGAGAGTTTCAAGTAGGTCAATCACACACCCCAGGTCGAATTTTAATGTTCGACCTTATAGGGGGTGAGCCGAGCCGCTCGTAGGGGCTGTAGGTTACCAGGTTAATTTTGTAGACATCGCGCCACTTCAACATAGTGATTGCGAATTTTGACGAGGATTACATTGTGTCGCAAAAACTTCGCAGAACTCGTTAATTGTTGTACGTGCGCAAAACCACACACGTTCGGTTCACTGTACGCGCCCACATTAATGCATCACTCGAGTCGAGTTCGGAAAACCTAGGTCGAATTTGCCACGTCTTCAAAAGGAAAGTCTTTCGTCACAAAGCTTTCGCGAAATTAACGACTCGGGTAACCAGACAAAGTTCGACCTGATTTTCGAACCTAGAAAAAAATCATACACGTCCTAAGCATTTTCAACCACGACTGCATTCCACCAACCTTTTGAGCTGCTATTCGCCGTCTCCTGTCGTGATCGCCCCCCACCCACCATCACCATCCTCGTTGTGCAGAATAATAATTTCACGGCATGTGCACCACCAGATCTATTCGATGCCTTTCCAACCAAGACTATGCTTTTCCTCGCTGTAATGGCCTCTCCTCTCTCTTTATCGGCTCCCGGTTCAAGTGGCGCGAGCAGACTCAGATGCTCATGCCTATCCTGCGAGACGGTGGATCTAGCGTAGGCAGATGACTCCAACCGATTCCTCGCTCGTCCCGTCCTCCACTTTTGCAGCTTGCATGGCAAGCAAGCTTTCTTTGCGCAGTGTGGTAGATTTCCGTACCGTTAGGTAGATTGAAAGTTTTCTTGCTTTCGTATTCCATTGGGTGGCTGCTTCGCTGTTGGTTGCCCTTTTCCACCAATCGGACTTGCTAACCCATCCTTGTTTGAGCCTTGTGCTGTCAGGCCACTCATATCCCGGCCTCGTTTCGCACGCCTGCTCGCCACCAGCTCGTCAGCAAAACTTTTACCAAAGCACGCTTGACTCGGCTCATCCTCGTGTTCTTTCCGAGTTCGAGTCAGCTAAGTTAGATGTGGGCGGTATGTGTTTACTTCTAGTGGCGGTGCGTTTCAACACATGGCCGCGGAGCGAGGGAGGCCATTCAACCTTCCTCGGAGTCGGAGATACCACTCACGTCGGGTTTTATGATTCTGCCAACCCAGGCCGCCACAAGATGAGGAGATGAGCAGAGCACTCAGTGGTTGGGATTGTGTCTCACACGGGTTGGACTGGTGAGGCTCAGTTTGACTGGCTGCGAGTCAGCATAGACGCACATGTGGTTGATATTCCGTCTCGAACAGGGTTTGCACTATGCGCGCCCGCCGAGGATCCCGAATCCCTCGGACGCATCATTGGAACCCGCGCCTTAGACCCGCCCGACTGCCCAGCCCTTTAGCATGTCCCGCCTTTGAGAGATAAATGGAGGCATTGTTGCTCTCAAAGAGCATGTTATTTCAGAGTCGGCGCAGACGAGCATATTTCACTTCGCCAAGCCCGGTGAGCTTGCAAGATCCCGGCGCTACTACTAGTAGAGTATTTTCCGGAACAGATGTTCGATTCCGACTCCGAGTCGTCTCTTGCCGAACAAAAATCACGCCAATCTCACGGGCCGTCCGCGCTCTTCATTCCCCAATCCGCATACGTCGTGAAAGCCATGGCGCATCGCCTCGCGGCGTCCCTGAAGTTTCGGCGCGCGGCGCAGCAGGTGATGGAGGGCGTGCTCCCGCGCGGCGCCAACCTCGGCGGAACTTCTGATGGCGCCGCCCCGGCAGGAGCGAGAAGCGGGAGCGCAGAGCAGGCGGAGACAGCAGCACGGCCGATGCTGGAGCGTGGGGAGCCGCAGCGACACGGTGACAAGCATCGACAGCATGAGGAGCATGGCACGGGCCGCCGCTCTTTCCAGACCTCCCCCGTCGGCCCCTCCCTCTACTCCCGCCGCGTTAGCCGCTCAGCTTCCCTCACTCTTCCCCACATCTCTCCACCCATTCCTTCCTCACATTCCCACGCTCTCTCCTCCGACTCCTTTCCTCCTTTACCCTCTTCCCCACCCGCCGCCACGCTCCCAGCTGCCGCCTCTTCTTCACGCCCTCCCTCCTTCACCGCGTCTCCCGCACACTCCCATGACTACCCGGCCCTTCACTTCCCCTCCGCCCGCCCGTCACCACCAACCGGTGCACCAGCCACGCTTGTGCTCCTCCCCAGATTCAGCGCACCTGTCCAGCGCCCAACCCTAACACACAGTCGTCTCACAAGCCCAGCTGTAAACCCTCCATCCATCCTCAAAACGAGCCATTCTTGCCCGGACCATCTGAACTCTACCGAACCAGATTGCCTGGCTGGGCTGAGCTTAACTCCAAAGCGCTCCTGCCTGAGTCAAGGCCGAACCTGCCGCAGCCAGAAGTCAGGAGCCTCAAGCCCGGAGCAAGGTGCAGGTCCGAGGCTGGTTCGGCGTGTGTCGTTCAACAGCATTGTGCGTGTGCGGCGATTCATCGAGCTTCCTCCTGATGCCGACAGCTACTGCAGCGACAGTGGTGGGAGTTGTGCCAATGGCATCAGCCAAACCAGCAGAATCAGTACATGCAGCAACCACAAGCAGCAGCAGCAGCAGCAGCAGCAGCAGCAGCAGCAGCAGCAGCAGCAGCAGCAGCAGCAGCAGCAGCAGCAGCAGCAGCAGCAGCAAGAGAGAACTCCTTGCCTCCTACTCCGCCCCATGTGAACGTTTCAGCAGTCAGCTTCCTGCCTCTATACGCGCCCCCTCTGTCCCCTACTCCCCCTCTTCCTCCTCTTCCCCCCTTTTCCACTCCTCCCCATCTTCCCCCTCCTCCCCATCTTCCCCATCCTCCCCAACTTCCCCCTCCTCCCACTCCTCCCTATCCTTTCCCTCCTCCCCTTCCTGCGCCTCATACCCCTCCTCTCCTCGTTCCCCCTCCCCTTCCTCTTCCTCGCATTCACCCCACTGCCCCGCACCCCCACCTGCCCACATGCGCAAGTGTCTGCCCCCGTCGCCCACGGCCAGAAGGCTGAGAGCACAGCTGAGAGCAGCGGCAGCAATGCAGGCTAGCGAGCAACCTGTGGGAGCCACAGGTGGTGGAATTTTCTTCTGATGCAGCGGGCTGCAGGCACACCATCCTCAGCGGCATGGTTCACCTGTGAGCAGCGGGGTTGCGACAAGAGTTGTGGGAGCATATTGTAAAGGGTACCCGTGACTAAGAAAAACTCATGCCACTAAGATGTTTACCCTCTTTTTTGTGAATTTGTAGAGTCTCTCCGTGTCCTATATCTGGGAGATGACTATGAGCTAAGGCAGTTGAAAACGGGCCTAGGAACTTAGTCTGTGATACCATCTCACGAGGGTTAGCAGAAGGTGAGCTGACTAAGAGAAAAGGGTACAAGGAGAGTCGAGAGAAATATTGTACCTTGTACTACCGTAAACGCCCGGATATAAGACAGTGTTGAATAGTAGACAGGGGTTGTCTACTATACGGGTGTCTCTTATAAACAGGCTAGCCTCATTATAAGACACCTGTTTGTGTGTACGAGATAAGACATATATGTCTTATAATCGAAACTTCAATACATTATAGCGAAAGTTGAAATAACGCGTACATTTTTACCCTTGCGAAGCGCGAATTCTTCCACGCGCTGACCCAGGACCTACCAAATGACGTGGCGACCCGGGCAGTGGGTGCCGAAGTGGCACCTTCGCAACATCCACACTCATTATGAGGAACCCTTTTGTCAGAATCTAGCAGCAGGAATGAATGAACTAGCAGCATGCAGGAGTACAAGTAGTAAACCCTAATTGGGCTGTACCCCATATGGGCTACCCCACTACAGCCTAGACAATATGCAGCATATATGTTTGACACACCCCCATAGGCAAAGTGGGGGAGAACAAGGGGTCAAACGACCAGTCAAGAGAAGCAAAGCAAGCTCAGGGTGGATCTCAAGGACACCACACAGTCTGAGCACAAGCAAAGGGCCACAAGGCCAGTCCACATGCAGAGATATATATGCAACAATAACAGTACAGTGATGACTACCTAGCAAGAGCAGGCATGCATGTATATATATAGATCACAGTACAAGTAGAGACTACAGCAAGTGTGGAAACGTAGGCACAAGGCCTAACAGGGTACAAAAGCGCTGATGATCACCAGACGGAAGTGCCTTGGTGAATATATCAGCAGTGTTGGCTCGAGTGGCCACGTGACGAAGACGAAGCTGGCCTCGCTGCTGCAACTCTCGAGCCAGGAAGTAACGCAGAGCAATGTGCTTCGTTCTGTGCTCCAGTCTGTGCTCCTCACACAAGGCAATGGCGGCCTTGTTGTCGACGTACAGCACTGGAGGAGAACGAGGCTGCTCTCCCAAGTCAGTCAGCAGGTAGGTGAGCCAGCGTAACTCCTGTGCAGCCATGGCTGTGGCGTAGATCTCAGCCTCACAACTGGAGCTGAGAACTGAAGACGAGCGTGTAGAACGCCACGAAACTGAACCAGAGCCAAGGCTGAAGGTGTAACCCTGTGACGACCGCTGAGTAGCCAGGTCGTCAACCCAAGAAGCGTCTGAGTGCCCAGTGAGGACAACTGGGCTCGTCCCTCCAAGCACTAGCCCCATGCCTGATGTGCTGCACAAGTAGCGCAGTACCCTCTTAGCAGCAGCCATGTGCTCAGGTCGGTGCCGACCAGGAGCCACGTAGCGAGCCAGAAGACCAAGAGGGTACGCGAGGTCAGGTCGAGTGCAAGTCATCAGGTACATGAGGCAGCCCACTAGCTCTGGGTAAGGACCACTCGGCTCTACGGACTCGTCCGAAGGTGGAGCTGAGAGCGTGTGACCTGTAGCCAGAGGAGTGGCCTGTGCTGAAGACCAGGTGAAGCCGAAGCGCTGAATGTCAAACATATATGCTGCATATTGTCTAGGCTGTAGTGGGGTAGCCCATATGGGGTACAGCCCAATTAGGGTTTACTACTTGTACTCCTGCATGTTGCTAGTTCATCCATTCCTGCTGCTAGATTCTGACATGGTTTCAGAGCACTAAGGTCCGTAGGACCGTTTTTTTTTTTTTCGGGCCCACCTACCGCTGCGGTTACCGCGCTACCCCACGTACCTGCCTGCCTTGCCTTGCCTTGTGACGTGCTGCACTATGTGCGCCGTCCAGCAGCCCTAGCGCTGCCTCCTGCTGCCCTAGGCCAGCGCGCTGCCCCTAGAGGCCCGTAAGGCCCACGCGCCGCCCCTAGAGGCCCGTAAGGCCCGCGCAGCCCGCTGCAGCCGCGCGCAGCCCGCACAGAGCCCGCGCAGCCCGCGCCGAGCCGCGCGCAGCCCGCTGCAGCCGCGCGCAGCCCGCACAGAGCCCACGCAGCCCGCGCCGAGCCGCGCACAGCCCGCTGCAGCCGCGCGCAGCCCGCACCGAGCCGCGCGCAGCCCGCTGCAGCCGCGCGCAGCCCGCAGCTGCCGCGCGCAGCCCGCGCCGAGCCCGCGCAGCCCGCGTCGAGCCGCGCGCGGCCTGCTACGGCCTCGCGAGGCCCGCGCGCGGCCCGCAGCAGCCCGCGCCGAGCCGCGCGCGGCCTGCTACTGCCTCGCGCGGCCCGCGCGCGGCCCGCAACAGCCCGCGCCGAGCCGCGCGCGGCCCGCTACTGCCTAGCGCGGCCGCGCGCGGCCTGCAGCAGCTCAGCGCGCTGTCAGCGCAGCCCGCGCCGAGCCGCGCGCGGCCCTCTGCCTCGGCCACGACCTGCCGCTGATGCGGACCCGCCCTGCAGCTACCACGGCCCCGACCTGCCGCTGATGCGGCCCTGCCCTGCAGCTGCCACGGCCCCGACCTGCCGCTGACGCGGCCCCACCCTGCTACTGCCGCTGAAGCGGCCCCGCCCTGCAGCTGCTTCGGCCCTGCTCTGCAGCCGGTTTTGCGGCCCCGACGCCGCCGCTGTCGTGCGCCTACTCGGCCGCCGCCCGTCGAGCGCCGGCCCTGCTCGCCCATGTGTGACTGAGTCAAGGTGATGGTGCGGCGTGCTCTGTCCCGGGTGATCTGCAAGCCAAGGTAGCTGCGCAGCTCGCCCAAGTCTGTGCACGTGTGTCTCTTCTGCAGCTCCGACTTCACGTGGGCGAGAGCCTCAGTGTCAGCAGTGGCAAAAACCAAGTCGTCGACGTACACGAGGATGTAGAACGGCGGCAGTGAAGTGTCGGTGCGCAGAAACAGCGACGGGTCAGCAGTAGAAGGCGCGAACCCAAGAGCCGCAAGCGTAGTCCTCAGTGTGTCGTGCCACTCACGCGGCGCCTGGCGGAGACCGTAGACCGGCCGCCGGAGGCTCCACTGGGTGCCAGGAGGGAACGACCCAGTGAAGCCCGGGGGGCGGCGCAGCCAGATCTCCTCGTGCAGGCTGCCATGCAAGAAAGCTGTGCTGAAGTCAAGAGAGTGAAGCTCGTAGTCACGGTGAGCAGCAACGTGCAGCAGCACCCGAAGAGTGGTCATCTTCGGGGTGGGGGAGAAGGTCTGGAAGAAGTCAACTCCCTCTCGCTGACTGAAGCCTCGAGCCACGTAACACGCCTTGAAGACAGGCGGAGAACCCGGCTGCCGCTTCACCCTGAAAATCCACATGCCACTGACGATGTTCGCCCCAGGTGGGGGAACCTCGTCAACGTAGGTGCCTGTGGACTTCCAGGAAGCCATCTCTGCGTCCATGGCTGTCTGCCACTGAGAGGAGTAGGGACCCTCTATCGCCTCTGCGTAAGAGCGCGGAGTCGGGATGTCTGGTGCATCCGGGTCTCCCTCAAGGGCAAGTAGCGAGGACACAAGATGAGGTAAAGCAGCAGCAAGACACTGGAACTCCTCCTGCCTGTCCTCAAAGACGTCCGTGCTAAGAGCACACTCACCCCCGACGGACGGAGGACAGACAGACTCAGACTCGGCAACAAGACTAGTGGCGTAGTCTAGACGACAGGCAGCAGCAAAGTCAACAAACTCAGCGACCAAGGCAGACGCAGCAGTAGACTCAAACGACGGGTCAGTGACAACAGTGGCTAGGAGACGCGTGACAGTAGGGTGCTCAGTACGAAACCGGTCAGACTCAAGGTCCGGAACGGCAGGCAGAGAGGACGCAGGGGGAGACGGCAGAGGAACAGGCTGCGGAGCAGAGGAAGGACGACGGACAACAAGGTGTGCGCTGGGGACAGCCGGCTGACGCGCACGAGCGACACGACGAACGGTACGACCAGAACGAACGGGCGAGACAGGACGCGACGCAGGCTCACGACGCGTAGCAGGACTGCCTGTCTGCTCAGTGTAAGGAGAGGGAGCAGGTAGCGGTGAGCCAGTCTGTAACGGAAGACCAGTAGACGACGGGAGAGTAACAACCTGACGAAGAGCAGAGTCAGGCGGCGGCAGAGACGACGGAGACGGCGGAGCGAAGAACAGTCGCGTCGGTGCAGCTGCACCAGTACCGGCAGCTCCAGCAGCTCCAGTGCCTCCAGCAGCTCCAGTACCTCCAGCAGCTCCCGTACCTCCAGCAGCTCCCGTACCTCCAGCAGCTCCAGAAGCTCCAGTCCCAGAGCCGACACCCCCAGTCCCAGGGTCTCCAACCTCTGTGTCTCCAGCAGCAGCACCCCCAGACCCAGCACCTCCAGTCCCAGGGTCTCCAGCCTCAGTGTCTCCAGCAACAGCACCCCCAGAACGAGCACCTCCAGTCCCAGGGTCTCCAGCCTCAGTGTCTCCAGCACGAGCACCTCCAGAACCAGCGACTCCAGCACCTCCAGTAGACAAAGGACCAGCACCACTCCTAGCTCCAGCAGCGCGACGCTGACGGCGACCGTACCAGTCCTGCAGCTGCTGTGGGGTGAGAGGCACACGTGGACGAAGGCGGCTACTCCAAGGAGACCGCGCAACAGCAGACTCAGAACCCTCAGCGCCCGCACCCCCAACGGCTCCAGAACCTCCGGTGTCAGTACCCTCAGCACCAGTACCTCCAGCAGCTCCAGAACCTCCAGCACGAGCACCCTCAGCAGCTCCAGAACCTCCAGCTCCAGCGCCACCAGTA